GAGGTGGGGGTGTTTTATTTATATATATATATATATATATATATATATATATATATATATATATATATATATATATATATATATATATATATATATATATATATATGTCGTACCTAGTAGCCAGAACGCATCTCAGCCTAATATGCAAGGCCCAATTTGCCTAATAAGCCAAGTTTTCCTGAATTAATATATTTTCTCTAATTTTTTTCTTATGAAATGATAAAGCTACCCATTTCATTATGTATGACGTCAATTATTTTTTATTTTAGTTAAAATTAACGTAGATATATGACCGAACCTAACCAACCCTACCTAACCTAACCTAACCTATCTTTATAGGTTAGGTTAGGTTAGGTAACCGAAAAGTTAGGTTAGGTTAGGTTAGGTAGGTTAGGTAGTCGAAAAAAAATTAATTCATGAAAACTTGGCTTATTAGGCAAAACGGGCCTTGCATAGTAGGCTGAGAAGTGAGTTCTGGCTACTAGGTACGACATATATATATATATATATATATATATATATATATATATATATATATATATGTCGTACCTAGTAGGCAGAATGCACTTCTCAGCCTACTATGCAAGGCCCGATTTGCCTAATAAGCCAAGTTTTCATGAATTATTTGTTTTTCGACTACCTAACCTAACTTTTTTGGCTACCTAACCTAACCTATCTTTATAGGTTAGGTTAGGTAGGGTTGGTTAGGTTCGGTCATATATCTTCGTTAATTTTAACTCCAATAAAAAAAAATTGACCTCATACATAATGAAATGGGTAGCTTTATCATTTCATAAGAAAAACATTAGAGAAAATATATTAATTCAGGAAAACTTGGCTTATTAGGCAAATCGGGCCTTGCATAGTAGGCCGAATACGACGTTCTGGCTATTAGGTACAACATATATATATATATATATATATATATATATATATATATATATATATATATATATATATATATATATATATATATATATATATATATATATATATATATATACTGTATATATATATATATATATAGCAGACTCCTTACATTCTTGTAAAGCCACTAGTATGCATAGCGTTTCGGGCAGGTACCTAATCTTAATTTTCCTTCGAATATAATCCGCCAAATCGTTTAACAACTACCCAATAAACTCACCCCTCGGGGCAAAATTAAAATTAAACCAGGTTAACAATGTTTAACAATGTTTTTTAACATTGTTTAACATTGTTTAACGTTGTTTAACAACATGTTTAACGTTGTTTAACAACATGTTTAACGTTGTTTAACAACATGTTTAACGTTGTTTAACAACATGTTTAACGTTGTTTAACAACATGTTTAACAACATGTTAACGTTGTTTAACAACATGTTTAACGTTGTTTAACAACATGTTTAACGTTGTTTAACAACATGTTTAACGTTGTTTAACAACATGTTTAACGTTGTTTAACAACATGTTTAACGTTTAACAACATGTTTAACGTTGTTTAACAACATGTTTAACGTTGTTTAACAACATGTTTAACGTTGTTTAACAACATGCTTAACGTTGTTTAACAACAACAATAACACAGTAAGCAGTCTCCGTGGTGTAGTGGTAAGACACTCGCCTGGCGTTCCGCGAGCGCTATGTCATGGGTTCGTATCCTGGCCGGGGAGGATTTACTGGGCGCAATTCCTTAACTGTAGCCTCTGTTTAACGCAACAGTAAAATGTGTACTTGGATGAAAAAACGGTTCTTCGCGGCAGGGGGGGATCGTATTCCAGGGACCATAGGATTAAGGACTTGCCCGAAACGCTACGCGTACTAGTGGCTGTACAAGAATGTAACAACTCTTGTATATATCTCAAAAAAAAAAAAAAAAAAAAAAAAAAAAAAAAAAGCATAGTTCAACAACCAGGTTTAACAATGTTTTTCTTCAGCTTTATTATGTACCTGTTGGGTCCCATCTGTCTACCTGAAGCTGGAGGCCTGATGCTTGATACTAGCCTCGTCCAACTTTGCACCCTGATTACAGTCGGGTACGGGCCCAACATGGTCGGGTCAGGTTACCAGAATTCTTGAGGGAACAACGTGCCTAAGTTATATACAAAACACTATAGAGAAAATAGTTAAAACCAAATGGGTAAAATACCTGGGGAGAAATGATCCAATAACACAGTATGGCTTTCAGACAGGCAGATCCTTTTGTAACAAATCCACTTCGTGTTGGTGGTAACGCCTCAGTTTTTACAGGAAAGGGATGGTTGGGTTGCCTGCATTTATCTAGGCCTAAAAAGGCTTTTGACAGTCTCTTTCACAAGAGGTTGTTCTGGAAACTGGAACATACTAAAGGGGTGACGGGTAGACTGCTGACGTGGATGAAAAATGTTCCGAGAGGAAGGTGAGGCTAGTAATCATGAGGCAATGTATCAGACTGGAGAAATGTTACTAGTGGAGTACCACAGGGTTCAGTTCTTGCACCAGTAATGTTCATTGCCTATATAAGCGATCTACCAGGAGGAACACAGTTATATGAATATATTTCCTGACGATACCAAGCTACTAGGGAAGATAAGAAACTTGACCTTTTAAGATGACCAGAACAAAATTAGTGTATGGAGCAACACATGGCAAATGAAATTCAGTGTAAATAAATTCCATGTGGAATAGGATAAAATAGAGGTGCACACAACCTACAGTATGTGAAAAAGCATTAAAGAACACGACAAAGACAAGAGATTTAGGTGTGGTTCTGGATAGTAGACCATCAACTGAGGGCCTCATAAAGGACATTGTGTGAAGAATATATACTACTATCCAACTTCAGAATCACTTTTTAATACAGGGTTGATGACATATTAGACATTGTTCATGAATTTCTTTGAAAGATTGCTAAGAGGTAAGATCACAAAATACATGGAATCACAGTGTCTAAATAACCCCAGACAACTTGGGTTCAGAACAGGGGACTTATGCCTCTCAATTGCTAAACCACAATTATATGGCCCAAGATCCCATTGAAGACAAGCATAACACTGATGTAATATACACTGATTTTGTAAAAGCTTTTGACAGATGCAACAATGGTAATATTGAAAAACGAAATGTACTCAAAAGCAATTACTGGAACAACAGGAAGATGGATCTTCAATGTCCTAACAAATAGAACCCAGTCTGTAATCCTCAACAAAGCAAAATGCCAGCCATCCACTGTTAAAAGCTCAGTTCCCCAGGGTACTGTGCATGCTCTAGTACTTGTTCTTATTCTCATTGCAGACATAGACAAGGACAAAATTATAGTACTCTATCATCTTTTGCCAATGACAATAGAATTTTTGAGAGTAGACAATAATATAGAGGACATGGTAAACCTCCAATCTGATGTAAATCAGGTCTTTCAATGGGCCCCAGAAAATATGATGCTTAATGTAGATAAGTTCCAGCTCCTATGCTATGGAAAAAATCAAATATAAAAACTTGAACCACATATAAAGTTTAGTCAAATCACACCATAAAATGAAAAAGCAATGTAAAAAATCTGGGAGTAAAGACGTTGTTAAGACCATTCTTTCAAATAATACTGTAAAGTAGCCATCACAACTGCCAGAAAAATAACACGTTGGATAACAAGAACCTTTCAAACAGAGATGCCATACCGGTGATACTTTTCAAGACACCAGTGTTCTTTAAGGTGGAATATTATAGCACACTGACAGCCCAATTCAAAACTGGAGAAATTACTGACCTGGAGAGCATGCAAAGATCCTTTACTGCTATAATTCATTCAATATAATATCTAAATTATTGGGACTGATTAAATTAATTAAAACTGTGTTCTTTAGAGTGAATACAAGAGAATTTCAAACAGAATGGTAGATGGTTGAATGAAGTAGAGTGAGAAGCTGGTTGATGCCAAAACCATCAGTACTTGCAAAAAGTCATATGACAGAGGTGGTTACCTTACCTTACCTTACCTTGAGGTGCTTCCGGGGCTTAGCGTCCCCGCGGCCTGGTCGTCGACTGGGCCTCCTGGTTGCCGGACTGATCAACCAGGCTGTTGGACACAGCTGCTTGCAGCCTGACGTATGAGTCGCAGCCTGGTTGATCAGGTAAGAGAGGACTGGGATGATAGAACACCATGAGCATAGCTCTCATCCTGTAACTACACTTGGGTTACTGACTTCCATGACTGGTTTTGGCACTGGGTGCCAGCAACACTTGGCTAAATATTTGTACAAAAAATTAATTTCTTATACTGTAGTAATATGAAACATTATGTAGTGATCTCGGGAAAATTAACACAAATTTTCTTATCACAATGTGCCAGTAACAGCATAAAGCACATGACCCTATCACAGCTCCAAAGCCAATGGAAACTATTTTATTCTCTGTATATTTCATTAATTATAAGAACATACTGACATGAGCACTTACTGTTACGAGAGAGAGTGTGTGAGAGTGAGTGAGTGAGTGAGTGAGTCAGACAAAAATCAAAAGACAAAAAACACAAGTATATGGTCAGATCTAGAGTGCCCAGGTTGACCCGGGCATATCCATGATACAGGGTTAGCAACTTATATAACTAGGATGTGGATCACCTACCACTTTCATGCCAGGTTGCACCCCAGAAAAGGCCAAAAGTTCCATTTGGACAGCAGTTAATAGGTGTCTCTGGAATTCTTCCTTTTAAGGGGTGATTATCTTGTGTAGATTCTGGGGGTCATGGTCCCTGCAGCCTAGTTGATCTGGTCAACCAGGCTGTTAGATGTGGCTGCTTGCAGCCTGACACATGAATCATAGCCTGTGGCTCAGTATGTAGAGCTGCAGGCTGCTGCATGTGTGGTCTGTAGTTCAAGGTTCCTATTGTCCAAGTGAATGAAATATATAATATGTACGTATGTATAGTGTCTTTTTAATCATTAGAGTATACTGTGTATTTGCCCACATTAGGTTTACAGTACAATATTTTTAATTATAATTTGCCTATATTTGTTGTGAATATTATCACAAGTTTTTTTTTTCAGTTACATGTCGATCTGATGAGTTTAAATGCAACAGTGGTGAGTGCATAGAACATTTCCGGCGCTGCGATTCTGCAACAGATTGTCGGGATGGCGAGGACGAAGTGGCATGTCGTATGTGTTTACTCAATTGTTTTGTTTACTCACTTTACTTCTTTTCTGTAGTTCTGTTAGATTGGACAATTATTTTAAGACACCAAACTGGGAAATGCCGGATTAAAGTAAGTAGATTAGCAACACAGTAGTCATCAGATAACATAAAATTGCATCTGATATTCTGATGCAGTTTTGATCATTTAATGAACTGATTAATGTAGTTTTTATGAACACTTTTATATTAAAATGCCAGGACTGTGCATCTTGATGGCTATTTAGTTGTTACATAATGCTAATTTGCATGTACATATATACGCAATTTAAACTTCTGTAGAAATCAAAGTTGTATCCCTAGGACATGATACAGTACAATATACAGGGCACATTCATAAGCGGGTGTTCAGAGCAGATCAAAGAATTTTATTAAAGTTATTTTAAGAATTTGAAACAATGATTTGTGTATCTGTAAACTGTTTAGGTTCGGGAGAAACAAGGGGATGAGATAGGTGCTGTGATTGAGAGGTTCCAATACTTCGCCAGAGCTACTTACATGAATAGAATCTTAAACATCTTAGGATAGAAATTGACTTGTTATTTACAACATGAAAGTTTAAGTAAACAAAATAAATAAACTTAAGTACTATAGAAGGGTTTGAGCAATGATATATTTTTGCACAATTTTCAAAATTGTTTCTTATAGGCTCTTTATACATAAGAGGTGGCTTTACTGCCAGCTAGTAGCTACCATTTGTTCTGTTTATCTATAAAAAAAAAGCTCTTACAGCTTTTTGTTGCATAGTTTAATGAGTTAGATTTAAAATAAAGCTCATACTTTTGGCATTCCTACAATTTAATAAATAAACTCAGCATTTATTAAAGCCATATTGTGTTTAGTAAGGTTTTATTATGCTACATGCTACATTCCTACTTTGTACATACTCTCAAAACAGAATAAATACCTGGGTCTGATTTTAATGAGGATAAAGTAGTTGCTAAAATAATTTTGTGGAAGGCATTTTGCATTCATCGTTGTAATAAAGGTAAAGAAATATACCGGATATATAAAAAATGGCAATTGAATTAGTTGAGGTAGACCATAGAGTGCATTGATATACAGTATACTGGTGTATATTGAAATGAAATGTGGGTGTTGAAAACATTAAGAACTTCTACTGAGTGTGTTGCTGTTGGCTATATTTTTTGACTGTGAATTTGAATTTGACTAAGATTGTATAATACTGTATATTGTTGAAGTAGCTGATAATACAGCTGTCTCAAGGAAGTTACCTCATCTGTATAGTTAGTAAACGAGTTGACTTATCAGGTAGTAACTAATTACCAGAACCCTTATTTAAGGATTTAATTTAAAGTTATTCTTTAGTTTTAAAAGATAGTTAAATACAGACATTACTTATAAAAGCAGTACAGTGTTTCTTAATCTGTGTATTCAAAACTCAGTATAGTAAGTTTTAATAATTTTATTATTAGTGAATTCTAAAGTAATTATGAACGTATAAAATCTCTAAATAAGGGTTGGGATGAAGAAGGGATTTTTTTTTCTACAAGGTGATAGGGATCGGGAAGCCTGTGTAATGGTGCTTGAAACCAAACCAGTAAAACCATGAGTGGAAGGGTGAGTAAAAGACAAAGTGAATGTGAACATGTTCCTGAAAATTGTATATACTGTACTAACATAAATGGAGACAAAAAAAATACTCGAGCTAAACATTATAATACAGCTTAAGATGAAACAGTTGAATTAAGAGAGAGAACTTGAGGTAATCTTGAGATGATTTCAGGACTTAGCGTTCCCGCGGCCCGGTCCTCGACCAGGCCTCCTTTTTAATCCAGCCCTTCCCCCTCAGGAAGCAGCCTGTAGCAGCTGGCTAACTCCCAGGTACCTATTTACTGCTAGGTGAACAGGTACATCAGGGTGAAGGATACTCTGCCCAATTTGTTTCTGCCTCTACCAGGGATCGAACCCAGAACCTCAGGACTACGAATTTGAAGCGCTGTCCATTCAGCTGTCAGGCTCCCATGGTCAGCCCATGAGGATATTTTAAACGAGGTTGTGTTCTAAAGGGACACATTTGAAAATGTGACAGAAAAATTAAAAAAAGGTGGAGGAGTGGCCGTGCTGGTGAAAGAACACCTGAGGGTAAGAAAATTAATAACTGACAAGCCACTAGAAGATGACATAATGGCACTGGAGATTTGTAATTAGGATGATAAACTACTGTACTATAAATGCCTACTGCCCACCCGCAAGCAACACATGGGACAAACGAGGACCTGGATAACAAACAAATGACAAATGGGATGGCCTCATAGTGATCACAAGAGAGATTATGGTAAGAGCAGATAAAGATAAATCACAATTGTTAGTACTTGGTGATTTTAACTTGAAGTCAATATCAATAGACTGTGAAACCCATGAAGGAAGAATAGAGGACATTGGACTGGTGGATTTGTAAGTCTCATCCTGGAGACATTCATGTATGAACACATTAAGCAGGCCATGAATAAGGGACAGGGATTTTCCATCAATGCTGAATTATATATTCACCAGGAAAGGAGGAGAGAGATTTGACATTCAATATCTTCCTTCTTTGGGTAAGAGCGACCATGTCCTTTTGAAATTATATATGCAATGCATTTTAATCTAGAAGAAAATGGGAAAAATTAAATAATTGAAAAAGGACAATATGGGGAACTTAGTAAGTTCTTTAATGAATTTTATTGGAAAGATTTGTTGTTAAGTGAGGAAATAAATGAGTTGATGACCAGACCACACACTAGAATGTGAAGGGACGACGACGTTTCGTGACCTTACTAACAAACGTGACCTTACATAAGCTTACCCTTTCCATTTACCTTTCTCTTTCCTTTCTTTCTCTTTTCTCTCTCTTTTCTGTTCTTTGTCTTCTCCTACGTTCCCTCGTTTTCCTCTTCTCATTATTTTTTCCTTCTCTTTCAATGGTTATAATAGAACTGCCTCGTATGGGCCAATAGGCCCTCTGCAGTTCCTACAACTAGCCCCTCTACTACACCTTGGTTTGCTCCTCATCTCTCGTGCCTATTTATTGCCTGTCTCTACTTCATCACAATCGACTTGAGAATGGTCCAGGACGGACCGAAACGTCGTCGTCCCTTCACATTCTAGTGTGTGGTCTGGTCATCATACTTTAGCCACGTTATTGTGACTCATCGCCTGCAAATAAATGAGTTGTTTGCCAAATTTTGTCATAAATTTTGTGAAATAGATGATGGTGCAACAAAATTTATACCACGACTGAGGTGCAGAACTAGAGACCAGAATTGGTTCAACAGAAATTGTGAGAGGTCCTGAGATAAAAGAAGAAATGGAATCAGTATAGGAAGAGGCTTAATGTTCAAATGTACCAGCAATACAATCAAGCAAGAAATTGCTACACAGCAGTGAGGAGAGGGGAAGAAATAAACTTTGAGTAAGAGATGGAGGATAAATGTAGAACAGAACCAGGACTATTCTATAAATACATTTAAAGCAAATTGCTGGGAAAGGATAAAATTCGGAGGATGAAAATGGAGAACAAATTCATAAAGAATGAAAAGGAAATGTGTGAAACACGAACTGAACAGTACCAAAATTGTGTTTGTGCAAAATGAGGTTTTCAGAGAACCAGACACAATGTGGATTTTAGAGAACAACAAAGAGTACATAGAGGTATCTTGAGGTAATTACCTGGAGAAGTGGAAAATTATGCTCAGAGAGCTATGAAGAAAACAAAAAGCAGTTAGCCCAGTTGGAATTTCATTTTGAGTTCTGAAAGAATACACAGCTGAGCTGAGCATTCTACTAAATTTGATTTTTAAGGCATCTTTATTTACAGGAGACTTAGCAAATATATGGATAAAAGGCAAAGATAATTTGTCTTCAAAAATGGTAGCAGGAAACCTTCCTATATATGTCTCCTAAGTGTATGGAGCACTTGACAGATGGTATTTAATGTGAATAAATGCCACATTATGGAATGTGGAATGGAAGAAAATAGGCCACACACAACTTAGAAATTACGTGAAAAGGCTTTAAAGAAAACTGTCATACAAGGACCACATAAAAAACATTGTGTGAGAAGCCTGTGCTACACTTTCTAACTAACTTTAGATTTACTTTTAAGTTCATGGATAGGGAAATATTAAAGAAATTGTTAATGAACTTTGGAAATCTAAAATAAAATAAATAATATACAGTACAGTACAGTATAGAAGTTGCATGGTGCCCACATCTCAAGAAGCACATCAATAAATTAGAAAACGTGCATACACTAAATGTCTTCCAGAATTGAGACGTGAGCTACGGAGAGAGACTAGAGGTGGTAAACATACCAAAGATAGAAGATAAAAGAAAAAAAGGTGATAATGTACAAAATAGTGACAGGAATCGACAAAATTGACAAAAGAATTCTTGAAAACTGCAATTTAAAGAACAAGAGTCTTCCTTAGCTTCGGTCATAGACCAAAGCTGCTGAAAAAACATTAGAAAGTTTACTTTGGAAACAGTGATACTGTTGGAACAAGTTGTGAGAAGGTGGTGGAGGCCAAAACTGTCAGTACTGGTAGTTTCAAATGATAGAGTACTGGGAAGACAGGACACCATGAGAATAGCTCTCGTCCTGTAACTAGTAGGATAATTAGTTAGGTAATTACACATACACATATACTATTATATATATATATATATATACAGTATTTATATAATATTGTGCTGTGTATATAAAATATACATAGTACTGTACAAAGTATCATGAAAGTTATTGCATGGAACAAGTATGAGTATTGCATGCTATGCTTATACTGTATTAAATAAATATCTTGGGTTGAATAGCATTTTTTTCTGTATTGCATCTTTAAATTTCATAATGTTATTAATTTTATTTTGCAATATAATTTTAATTATTGTCAATGTATAAAGTAGATAAGCACATTTGTTGTTAGTGATTGCACAACTGCATCAAATTATTACCATCTATCAGATCACTAGTATCTCTACATCACCACCACTCAAGAGAGTTTTGTCTATTGATGTTTATTATTGTTTATATCTTGGGAGATTTTCTTAACAAGTAAGAGTAAGTGTAACTTTAAATTACTTTAAAGTAAATTCTTGTGAAAATGACAATGTCATTTCAATGTCAAAGGAAACAAATGTCAAATGACAATACATCTGTTATAAAATGCAACTTTTAATATTTAAAAAAAAATTATCAAGCTATGTACTCTAGTTTTGAAGCATTATAATGTATATACATACATACACAAACAGTACTTGTATATATGTGTTCAGCAAAAGTGCTGGAGCTAAAACCATCAAATCTCTTCTACATCTTATCTTGAGGTTATCTTGAGATGATTTCGGGGCTTTAGTGTCCCCGCGGCCCGGTCTTCGACCAGGCCTCCACCCCCAGGAAGCAGCCCGTGACAGCTGACTAACACCCAGGTACCTATTTTACTGCTAGGTAACAGGGGCATAGGGTGAAAGAAACTTTGCCCATTGTTTCTCGCCAGCGCCTGGGATCGAACCCAGGACCACAGGATCACAAGTCCAGCGTGCTGTCCGCTCGGCCGACCGGCTCCCTTTGGAGCCGGTCGGCCGAGCGGACTACATGGGAGAAGAAATACACCTTGAGGGTATAATTTCACACAGGGTTTGATTTAACACCACAGGATTATTTTACACTGAATAGATGTGGGGGAATGAGGTTACTAGGATAATTCACAGGAGTGTTGAGATCAAGAGGGATACCTTCCAGCAAACACAAGCCTTAGGGGTGAATTGACAAATGGATCCACACAAACTGGGACTTAAGGTTGCTACCCTACTCAACACTAACTTGATAACTACAAAGGGTAGCTTGGCTTTTAACAGTACAGTGTCCTGACACTGCCAATGGGGATCACAGTTGATGGTGAATAGACCACGTGTTACAGACATCTGGGTGAAATAATCAAGATAACACAAAACACCACCTACACCAAAGGTTCTATAAATAAACTTAGTTTTAACACTGCCTGTCACTAATACAGAGTGGAAGCACTGCTATAGTATACTGTAAATGGGTGTACAATGCACTGATCATTATTGTTTGGAGGTCATCACAAATCACACAAGCGACTCCTCCTACAACTCTCCCGAGGACCAAGTAAACGAGACTCATCTGTACACACGCACACACACACACACACATCCTTGGCAAATGGAATTTAATGTTAATAAATGTCATGTTATGGAATGTGGAATAGGAGAACATAGTTCCAATAATGTTTCGTACACACGCACACACACACACACACATGCACACACAATCTGAGACCCTAGGCCCATGAGGAGAGAGTGCAAGAAGGTTTCTTAAGGATCTTGGTTCCAGGCTCATTGACACTACAAGAGACCCTAGAGTGGCAAGTTTTAGAAAACTGTCACCTGAGGACCACATTAAGAACATGTGCGAGGAGCCTATGCTACACTTTCTAACCTCAGAATTGCTTTTAAATACATGGATGGAGAAATACTAAAGAAATTGTTCACGACTTTTATTAGACCCAAGCTGGAATATGCAGCGGTTGTATGGTGCCCATATCTTAAGAAGCACATCAACAAACTGGAAAAGGTGCAACGACATGCTACTAAGTGGCTCCCAGAACTGAAAGACAAGAGCTACAAGAAGAGGTTAGAGGCATTAAATATGCAAAAACTAGAAGATAGAAGAAAGAGGCGATATGATCACTACGTTCAAAATAGTAACAGGAATCGATAAAATTGATAGGGAAGAATTCCTGAGACCTGGAACTTCAAGAACAAGAGGTCATAGGTTTAAACTAACGAAACAAAGCTGCCGGAGAAATATACGAAAATTCACTTTTGTAAACAGAGTGGTAGACTTTTGGAACAAGTTAAGTGAGAAGGTGGTGGAGGCCAAAACCGTCAGTAATTTCAAAGCATTATATGACAGAGTGCTGGGGAGATGGGACACCACGAGCGTAGCTCTCATCCTGTAACTACACTTAGGTAATTACACACGCACGCACGTACGTGTTTCATGTACATTTCCCAATAGTTCATGTATATGTCTTATGAAGTTCCAAGCTGTTTTTCAACATTTGACAGTGTTGTTTCTCTCTCTCTCTCTGCTGCATTATACCCTTCACAAGGGTCTCTCTTACATGGGAAGGCAGGACACCACGAGTGTAGCTCTCATCCTGTAACTACACGTAGGCAATTACACTTGGGTAATTACATAAATTATATAAGCTACATACACTGTTTCCACAGCAGGTTCCCCATTGTTTTATAAGACCAAACTTACACTGCTCATTGTAATGTACTGTGCTTATCGTGATTGTCATATACAGTATGACATATACTCTATGCAGATACATTTCACCACCTACTTAAAAACATCGTCCATGCAACCTTTGAGAGTACAGTACAGTACATTCAGATATACTTTTCATTTTAAGATTTCATTCTAAAACACAATGATTAGTATTGTTGGTTTTAAGTTTATGATTAATATTGTTGGCTTTAAGTTTTTAAGGTAAAAACTTAGAAACCAAAAGTTGAAAAAAAGTTATAAACAAACAATTGACATTTCTATTACACATCCATAATACTTACGTTTCTTTTCTGATTTTATACCTAACTTGTTTGAATAGAATTTTAATATTTGTTTACCAAGAGCTTATGGAAATTCAAAGATTGTATCACTATTGTTGTGAGTGGTGGTATTTTTGAAGAAATGTACAGGTTTTAGTGACTGATAATGGACCTTGAGATGTTAGAAAGTAGTGTATTGCATTTTGGTGTTCATATGGATCTTGGCTACTACCTCCCCCAGCCTGTGAAGCTCCCAAGTTCCAGTGTAATAGTGGCATGTGTATCGAACCTGAGAAACGCTGTGACGGCACGTTTGACTGTGATGATGGAACTGATGAAACTGTCAACTGTCGTATGTATTAAACTAATTTTAATAACTTGATAGATGTGTTGTTCTGTTTTCTCTTCTGTCTTTAATTGCTGTTTTTATTTTTATAGGGGTATTTTCTTTTTAATAAGTTGGATATTATGCAGTAGTTTAAATAGTTGCTTTAACACTTGTAGTTACATTCATCATCAGCATTACCCCATTTCCCACTTTCATGGAGTTAAATTAACTCTTATCCCTTAAACTACTGCTGTAGCACTCAAGTGATAGGGGCTGGTGTCCCTATCATCTGTAGGAGTTTTAAAGGTTCGTAAAAATTCTATATAAATATCATTCAACACTAGGGACCTTTGGCAATTGTTTGCCAGATTGGAAAAAATCCTGAAAATATTGGCTTCCTTTCTGGGAGTAGTAAAAATATTGGGACCATGTTGGGTGCATCACCATCCATTTACTGACGCCCATGCAAGAAACCCTTAATGTGTGAAATTTGAAGGACTTGTATGATCTGGAAGATATTAGTGACCAGGAGAAATCTATTACAAATAGTTAACTTGAAAATTAATTCTCAGAATTTGAAGTTTTTAGCATTTCTCCACCTCACTACAGGCAAACTAGAATGATTAGAATTTTTTTCCCATCATCAGAAAGAAATGTTTTATGATGTAGAAAGGATTTTTTTTTTTTTTATGCGCACCAGGAAGTTTTCTTAATTTTGGGTGCAGAGTTTGAGGGTTAAGGGGCTGTCATCATCCTGTGTTGATTTAGTGCAGTGTTGTTATCATCATATATGGTTTTAGATTTTGTATCAATGTTTGAATACCAATGATGCAAATATAGTAATGATGTCTCCTGGCAGGCATGGGAGGCCACACAATAACTTGGAGTCAGATGGATATCAGTTTCTGGCCTCCCATCATCATATGATCGTAGCACTTACTTAGACCAGCATAAAAATCTTCATCGTATAAATTTATTTTGATGTTCTTTTTACCTTTCCATACAGATTCCTTACTTCTGAATATATTTCTTAAATAATCTAACAAATAAAAAAAAAAAAATAAATCAGTTGATGAGTCCTGGCTCCAATCTCTATTGTCATGCTGATGAATGCCAGAAGGAATATTGACCACTGTTCAGACCAAAATAAGGGTAGATATGTTTTTACATTTTTCCATCTATAGAAAATCAGATCTGCTATTTCATAAGAAAATACAAGTACAGTACAGTACACCAAAACATATATTTTTGTTTACAATGTTGAGGTGACAACTTTGAAAGAAAGCAGCACTTTAAGAGTTAAATATATCCCACATACTAAAAAGATGAATGTAAAACAATTGTCAAGTTATATTTTATTATTGTTGAATGATATTTTCTTGTTCAGTTGTAATTTTTATTGTAGAGTATCATTCAACACCATGTCAACTACTAATGTCAACAAGTAACAGTGAAAAACAGTGCCCTTGGTTAGCCATAAAATTTACAAGAGTATCTGGCATGTCCAGCGTCGCCTGTATTTTGAAATGAAAGAATGTTCTGTTCGAGCAGAAATACACAGTACTGTACGTAATAAGTTAATTAAAATGCAAGAACTTAGCTGCCAAAACAACCTAGGGTGTGAGAAACTTTGCCAAAATAAAGTAGGAGATGAGTTCACTGTTAAGTTAATAGAATTTGGTGTGAGAACGTCGTCACAAAAATGTAGAAATGAGGTCCATGCCCCAGTTATAACTTGGGGGGAATGAGAGCACAATAAATATAACTTGGTATAGGTGGGTATAGGCTCTCATTGCCAAGAGAGCATTCAACAAGGACCTAGTACTGCAGAAAGAAATTATATTCATACCCCAGTCTACAATACAATACTCAGCTGTGAGGAGAGAGGTAGAAAGGAATTTTGAGAAAGGAGAAGTGGACAAATGTAAGAGAGATCCAGGCCTCTACTATAAATTCATTAAAAGCAAGCAGCATGTAAAGGCAACCCATCCTCCTGTTTAGATAGTACCTATTGTGACGGTCGTCAATAGTCAGAATTCGTACGTTCTTAGCTTTTAGATAGTAGTACACTGACGAGTAAGGAATTCTTTCAAAATAAATGAAGCTAAAACAAACTTAAATATTCCTAGGCCTAATATAGCACACACATGTACTATATTAGTCCTTGGATATCGTGTATTAGGCCCTAGGGAGGTTAGGATAGGTTAGTTTAGTTTGGCAAAGCAACACAAGTAAAAAAAAAATAGTTTGTTTTCCAGTTAGTCCAACTCAGTAGTTGAGATTACTACTTTCTAATTTCGTTGTACGTCGGTATATATAATATGGTCCTCATCGTTACTATAAGTACCAGTACTACCAAAACAGAAGGATGGGCTGGTAAAGGGTAAAATCCAGAGAGTGAAAATGGGGGGAACAGATTCTTAGAAAAGGAAAAAAAAAATGTGCTAAAACCTAAATGAACAGTTTCAAAATGTTAGTGCAAAATGAGGTTTTCAGAGAACTAGACACAATTCCAGAGGACACCATAGAGTACATAGAGATGTCTCGAGGTAAAGTGGAAAAATTGCTCAAGGGGTCATGAAGAAATAAAGCAGTAACACCAGATTGTTTCACCTTGGGTGTTGAGAGAATGTTCAACTGAGTTGCTCATTCAACTTCACTTAATATTCCAGACATCTTCCTTCACAGGAAATTTGCAGATATATAGAAAAGGCAAACATAATTAAAATCTACAAAAATGGTAGCAGAGAAGGCCCCTCTAAATTTTAGACCGTTATCATTAACAACTATGGTAGTCATAACCCTACAAAAAATAGTTAAAATCAAATTGGTAGAACATCTGGAGAGTAATGACATAATAGACAGTATGGTTTACAAACAAGGAGATCCTGTGTAACAAATCTACTTAGTTTTCATGATAGAGGCAATGAGATTCGATAGGAAAGAGATGGTTGGGTTGACTGTGTCTATCTGGACCTAAAAAGTCTTTTGACAGAGTCCCACACAAGAGGTTGTTTTGGAAACTGGTACATGCTGGAGGGGTGACAGGGAAACTGCAGACATGAATGAAACTTTTTCTAACTGACAGAAAGGTGAGTGTGGTAATTAATGGCAATGTATCTGACTACACAAGTGTTGAGTGTTGTGTAGTCAGGTGGTGTGTTACTAGCAGAGTATTGTACCACAGGATTTAGTTCTTGTGCCAGAAATGTTCATCATATACATAAATGATTTAAAAGAAGGAATACAGAGTTAATTCTGGTAAAACATGTTTGTGCTGATAAGAACATGTTTGCTGATGATGATAAACTACTAGGGAAGATAGGAAATCAAGGTGATTGTTTAAATTTAGGAAATTTACCTAGATGAAATACGCACTTGGAGCACCATATAGCAAATGGTGCTCCAAGTAGTGGAGAATAAATGCCATGTTATGGAAAGTTGAATAGGAGAAAATAGACCACACACAATCTACAAATTATGTGGAAAGGACTTAAAGAACTCTGACAAAGAGATCATGGAGTGGTTCTGGATAGTAGACTGTCACCAGAGGAGCACATAAAGAACAATGTGCGAGGAGAATGTGCTGTGCTTTCCAACTTCAGAATCGCTTTTAAATGGATAGTTAAATACTAAAGAAACATGATTTCTGTTAAACCAAAATTTGAATATGCAGCAGTTGTATGGTGCCCTTATTTCAAGAAGCATATCAATAAACTGGAAAAGGTGCAAAGGCATGCAACAAAATGGCTTCTAGAACTGAAGAACAAGAGTTATGAAGAGAGGCAAGATCAGTTAACTTTGCCAAAACTAGTACTGTAGATAAAAAAAAGCGAGGCGACATGATCACCACTTAAAAAATAACAGAAATAGACCAAATTAACTTATAAAAATGCCTGAACCTGGCAACCTCAAGAACAAGAGGTCATAGATAAGGAAATAAAAGGTGCCAAAAAAACATTTACAATTTAATACACACACAGATCACAATAGCATGATATATCAAATAAATAAATCCACAAGGGCTGTGATGAGGGTTCGAACTTATGTCCATGATGATCCCAGACGCGCCTTAATCGACTGCAATACGACATGGTATAAGAATTGCAACCGGGTTTGATACTGCTCACACACGGATCCCGCAGTCTCTCTGAGACACAAACCGGGGTGTTACAACTTATTGAACCCTCATCATGGCCCTTATGGATTTATTCATTTAAAAGTTTTCTTTTGCAAACAGAGTGGTAAATGGTTGGATCAAGTTTTAAGTAAGAAAGTGGTGAAGGCCAAATCCTAAAGTAGTTTCAAAGAATTATATAGTAAAGAGTACTGGGAAGACAGGACACCATAAGCATAGCTCGCATCCTGTAACTACACTTACATAATTAGAATATGCAATTTTTTTTGTTTAAGTACAAATAAGAATTATACTTATTTGCACCTCATCTCTCTTCTTTTTCCTCTTCTGCTATCAGCTGATTTGCTTCTAACTAACTACAATACAAGTTGATGAAGAAGTACAACATTTACTTCATGGATTCGAAACAAATCTTAAATGTTTTACTTCAATGGATTGTGTAACTTTTGGTGTTTCATGTTGATTCCTGTCCACGGTATGACCAAGTTCGTTGGTGTGCTTTTTCCTGTCTTGTGTCGGTAGCTCTTATTTTTTGTAAGGCTTCTTTCTTGGAGAAAATTTTGTGTGCATTCAAAATTATATCTTTCCATATCTTGATGTTTTGCCATCATCAAAATTTTGCAACTTATTGAAGAATATTATAAACAGTTTAAATCAGTGCTCAAAGTGTGAGAACAACTGAAGTAAGCGAGTTCACTAATGGGAATAGTCCTTCTAACTAGTGTGACTACTTCTACCAGCTTGTATAGATAAATACACCTGTGGGGATGGTTCGTGCATTGAGTGGGACTTAAGATGCGATGGATTACCCGATTGTAAAGATCAGTCAGATGAGAAGAACTGCCCAGGTGAGTGTGGCAGCGGAGCATCTCGTGTCTGTATGTACATAAACACACACATGCCAATTGTATTTCCTATATTACAGAGTGGTAAATGGTACTTTTTTCTGAGAATATACAAATTTATTAAAAAATAACTACTGTACAGTTTTTTGTTTGATAATTTTAAATACAGTATTGAGCAGTGCTCTTAAATTTCCTAAATTAATTTAGGCTGTATAGAGGGCGCTTTCCACTGTGCGAACTTGCAGTGTATCTCTGAGGACAGTTTGTGTGATGGGACACAAGACTGTGATACAGACGAGTTGGACTGTAAGTCTTTCTGTTTCCATTAATAGTTGATTTTCTGAATCCATAAATGCCTTACACCTTTGAAAAGTTCCTAGTGAACATTTACCATTGTTTTGCTAATACTGTGTATAGTGTTGCACTAGTGGTGAAAATTCATTGTTACTTATTATTGTGTGTGTTGTGATTTTGACTAATGCGATGTCATTGCAAGTTAGCTTTGTCAGAGAATAAACAGGTCAATGAGAATCATAATTTTGTATGTATGTTTGTCTATATATATATATATATATAGATATAGCTATGTAGATATATACCTGTATATTGATTATATGTCATACCTTGTAGCCAGAATGCACTTCTTGGCCTACAAAGTCCAATTTGCCTAATAAGCCAAGTTTTACAAAATTTATATATTTTTGTGTTTTTTTCTCATGAAATGATAAAGCTATCAATTTCATTATGCATGACTTAAGTTCCTTAATTTGAGTTAAATCTAACTTAGGTATATGACCGAACCTAACCAACCCTTCCTTACCTAACCTAACCTAAACTAACCTTCCCTAACCTACCTTACCAAACCTATCTTACCCTAACCTAAACTAACATAACTAAGTTAATAATTTATGTTCTTAACATTATATAATATTAATATTTCAAATAAACCTATTAGAAACAATATTTTGAAAATAAAGAAAATCACTCAGCCTATTAGGCTAATCGGGTCTTAAGTAAGGCCCGATTTGCCTAATAAGCCAAGTTTTCCTGAATTAATATATTTTCTCTAATTTTTTTCTTATGAAATGATAAAGCTACCCATTTCATTATGTATGAGGTCAATTTTTTCTTACTGGAGTTAAAATTAACGTAGATATATGACCGAACCTAACCAACCCTACCTAACCTATCTTAATAGGTTAGGTTAGGTTAGGTGGCCGAAAAAGTTAGGTTAGGTTAGGTTAGGTAGGTTAGGTAGTCGAAAAACAATTAATTCATGAAAACTTGGCTTATTAGGCAAATTGGGCCTTGCATAGTAGGCTGAGAAATGCGTTCTGGCTACTAGGTACGACATATATATATATATATATATATATATATATATATATATATATATATATATATATATATATATATATATATATATATATATATATAATATACTGTATATACACACACACACATATATATATACATGCATAGTGCAACCCATGTTTATCGGTTCTTTGTTTATTAACTTCTTGGGTTAATCATAAATCAATAACTCCATCTTCCAGTCAATTTACTAACTTTAAGATAGTTTATTGATTCATGCACTGACTGCTTCCTGAAAACCCAGGTCATCATGGCAGCGGCCAGCACTAGCTTAAAAAAGGTAACTGGAACAACTCTGTTTTTCCTAACCAAGTGAGCCTGTACGAGCTGTCTTTCTGTAAATATAACAAAAGATAGAAGAAAATGAAATGTTTTATCCTAAATAAAGAAAAATTCATAAATACAGAGTTTCAAAGTGTCAGGTGTAAATAGCATTTAATTGGATGCCAAAAGTGCTTCAAGTATGTTTATTGAGACAAGAAAGAAATACAGTTCAAAGGGATAGAGTAGCTTGGCTATTTCTACCCCCCTCCAAAAGTGGTGAGGTAACATTGTTGTGTGGAGTAAGTATGCGAGTTGATACATTGTCAGAACACAATTTTGTCTTCGTTCAGTTGTCTGAATTACATGTGGCCCACCCTCATTTGAGTTAGCTGAACCTTCAATTTAGCCAATTTTCTTATTGGCATGTCCAAAATATAACACTAAAATTTTTGTTTCACAGCCTGATTACTCAAGCCATGTACTGATCTCTTATTCCTGTTGCTAACTTGCTTCCATTGTTTACCCTCTTTCTCACTCTGTTTAGTAGCCAAGTAAACTCCCACCAGTAACCCTGTTACTCCCTCCATTAACTTGAAAACAATGAACGTGAATTAATTCTGGTTACCCGAAGATTCAGGCTACTGGAATTTGATTTATTGAGCTCTTACTACATTTACAACTCGAGCAAAAAAAAAAAAAATAACCTATCCAAGCTTTCTGACCTTAAATAAAGTGAAATATTGTAGAAATACAATATTTAATAGGCTTTAGAATAAAGTGCATTCATAAATTTCATGTTAATAACCATTTTATTTGTCACCCGTTTAAAATAGGGATAGCATTTACTGTATCTGGTCCGTAGAGAAATGCTGAATAATTAGCATATTTAGCTATTGGCAGTGCTTGAGGCAGGCTGCCTGATGCCACGCCTTTTCTCCCTCAAACCCTCCCTCGCCAGAATGTCAAATGCAAATACAGTACATCCAAGTTTTCCTGTCATTTTTACATGTATAGAATATTTTACCATGTGTCAACTAGGTGGCATGGTGCCCAGCTAATACCAGTGAATTAGATGATGGGAAATTAGCCGACTGCTAGAAAAAGTTACCACTGTGTGAGCCACTAAACCTATATAACAGCTATCTCGCCTTAAATAAAGTAAAATACTAGTATAGGATAAATGGAATGCTCATTAAATCAGTAATCATTAATAATGTGTTCATATTCATGTATATATCATAATTTTATACAATTTGGCCACTTAAGGAAAAATTTGTAGGCTGGCAGGGGCAGCAGAGCCAGACACCTCCCCATTCACTTACCTTACCTTTACATATACAGTACTGTACATGTTATCAACTAGTTCACAATATTTTACCGTGAAGTAAGAAAAATCATAAATTGACAGGTTTGTAATGCAGGGAGCTATAAATAAATTTGCATTATACAAGTGATGTAAATTTTACATCGCTTAACTTCCCCAAATAAACGAATCCAAGCAATTCCATTGTAAAAATAAGTTTAATGTGGTGGAAATCGTATGTTTATTGTCACAAGTAAAATATAAAGGGGCGTAGAAAAACTCCCAGAACCCCAATCAAGCAGGTATATATATTATAGAAAGGGGAACATTTTTGTAAAGGAACGGAAGCCAAGAGATACATTATAAGCATTCTTTGCGTGATTGAGGTTCCCAAAACGTCTCCACTGCCTACCTTTCTAGCCCGGTCCTCAAATACCCACACATTTGTCTTTACTGGACACCTGGTTGTACCGGAAAAATCGGGTAAATTTGGGTTGCACTGCATTTACACATTCTGTAAATATATACAGAATATAGTTAATTACCTTATACCATGATGCCCATCAGGAATATTTGTTAAGACTTAATATTCTTATAACTTAAAACCATTATTGGAGGTTTCTTTAACCTTAGAATCATTTTCATGATCATATATAATAATTATATATAATTATATATATATACTGTATCATAAATTTATATATATATATATATATATATATATATATATATATATATATATATATATATATATATATATATATGTATATGTATATGTATATATATATATATGTATATGTATATGTATATATATGCAATTGACGATCACAAAACACTGATCATTTTATGCGGAAAATCCACAGAGAAATATGAAATGAGGTGAACGTTTCGGCTTTGTTAAAGCCTTTGTCAACACAAGACTGACTCAAGCCGAAACGTTCACCTCATTTGATATTTCTCTGTGGATTTTCCGCATGTATATATATATATATATATATATATATATATATATATATATATATATATATATATATTATATATTATATATATATATATATATATATATATATATATATATATATATATATATATATATATATATATATATATATATATATATATATATATATATATATATATATATATATATTATAATAATAATAATAATAATTCAATATACAACATACAGTATAATTTATTGAGTATGCTTGTATACACTTCATCATGCAGGTTGTGATGGGTCAGGCATGTTCCAATGTGACAGTGGTAATACTTGCCTACCTGATGACAAAGTCTGTGATTATGTTAGGGACTGTAATGATGGGCTTGATGAATTACACTGTATTCGTAAGTATCTAACCAAAGTGAATGTGATGAATTCACAAGGTGGGTTGTGTTATTTTTAGATCTGGCTTGGAACTTTTTATGTACTGTATCTGTATATAAAAACAAGCTTTTATAAAATGTAGGGGGATTGCAATACAGGGTAAGCCATTTGATGAATGTTTTCTGTGGAGAGCCCCTTCGGCTCCCTGGAGCTATCGGGACAATGTTTGATATATTAGACCGGGGCATTAGTCTAAGGAGTTCGAGCTCCTAGGGACTACGAGCCAGACCCTGGCCTGCTCAGGGAGGTTGCAGGGAGCAATAGCCCCGGACCACCCTCCCCCACCCCAACCCCCCCGGGAGCCGGTCGGCCGAGCGGACAGCACGCAGGACTTGTGATCCTGGGTTCGATCCCAGGCGCTGGCGAGAAACAATGGGCAGAGTTTCTTTCACCCTATTCCTCTGTTACCTAGCAGTAAAATAGGTACCTGGGTGTTAGTCATCTGTCACGGGCTGCTTCCTGGGGGTGGAGGCCTGGTCGAGGACCGGGCCGCGGGGACACTAAAAGCCCCGAAATCATCTCAAGATAACCTCAAGATATGATAACCCCCTGTGGTTGGGGGTTTTCCTTATCTGCTATCGACTGAGGTTAGGCACCCAGAAAGGTAGGCAAAACAAAACAAACCCCACATGGTAAGAATATTATGAGTAAAAACCAAAAAGAGAGGTAGAACTCCCTCCAATCCCAAGAAAAAAAAGCAAACATCACACTCCACTGCTGCGCCGCTTGTCCACACAGTCCTCCCCTCCCCATGCCAACTATCCTGCACTCCAGTTCGTTAGCTAAAGTGGTCCGAGGTGGACGTCTTCTCTGGTCTTGATTTCCAAGGCCCTGTTTTGCCATCGTGGCGACCTCTGCAGTGTTGGTGTGTGTGATGGCTAAGTGTTCCTCATCATTGCTGGGGCTGCATGCGCTTAGTGGCTTCCTTCCCTAGGTGCCCTGTGAGTACTCCCCTTGCTTGTTAGAGTTCCCTTCCCTGGTACGTTTGGGATAACCATTTTCGTAGGGGTTTTTTGCTGCTTGTCATTTACCCCACCCTTGGGTCCAGCTGGGGTTTCGTGGCCCTGGTTTGGCCTTGGGTAGGGAGTGGTATTGTGCTGGTTGAGGCGTCAAGGTGTTGCGCAGCCTGCCTGTCAAAATGGCGGCCAGTTCCTGTTTCCTCTGGGGGACGTTGTACTTTTGCAGGGTTTTTCTTTTATTCTAGTCTTTCTTTCCTGGTGCAGGTCTGTCTGGTGTGGCTATCGTTATACTTGTAATAATTTAGTGGCCCTCTGCTAGGCCCCCCGTGATTGTACACGTCACAGGGGTTTCACTGTTTTGATCTCCCCCTTGCTTGCTTTGGGTCTTAACCGGTTAGCAACACCTTGCCCGGGCTTCCCATAGCAGTCAGTCTACGAGCCCTGGAAAACCGTTGGGGCTCTGTGACCTATTGATTGTCTTCAGAGTTCCAGCCTCCCTCATGCTGGTTTGAACGTTCCTGCTCCTGGGCATTACCGTGTTGCTTTTAGGTCGTAAGTTACAGCCAGTTGTCTCGACTTCCAGCTGAGGAGTTTGTGGCGACCGCCTCCCAGGTAAGTCCCTCCTTTTCTTATCTTTGATTATGTATTCCAGGGAGCTGAATGGGGCTCCCTACAGAAAACCAGCATTGAATGTAATGAAACTCCATTTTCTGGGTGAGCCCTAGAGGCTCCTTGGCACCGCTCCCTCCTGCCGGTTGGCAGTTTTTTGTATTGTTGGATGCTTAGCTTCCGAATTGGAGTGCTGGGTAGCTGGCTTGGGGAGGGGAGGGCTGCACGGACAAGCTGCGCGGCAGTGGGGTGTGACGTTTGCTTGTTTTCTTGGGATTGGAGGGAGTTCTATCTCTCTCTTTTTTTTTGTTTTTTGTTGTAATTTTCTTACCATGTGGGGTTTGTTTAGTTATGCTTACCTTTCTGGGTACCTAACCCCAGTCGATAGCAGATGAGGAAAATCCCCAACCACAGGGTAATTTTCCAGGGCCATTGCTGCCTGTGCCTTTCTGATGGGGCCAGTTTTTGGCTCGTGGTCCCCGGTAGGTCGAACCCCTTAGATTAACAACCCGGTCAAATATATCACACATTAACCCGATAGCTCCAGGGAATCTCCAGGGCTCACCCAGAAAATGGCGTTATATTACATTTAATGCTGGATTTTTTTTTTTTTTAATTTTAACAGCTTGCTGAGCATTTTGAATATGAATTAAAAATTTTTTTATATGAACCCTTTTGTATTTCCTTAAATTTTTCAAGGTAGGCTGAAATCTTTGTAGCTCTCGCATCTACCCTCCGGCAGTATACGTATTTTACCAGTGGATAGTAATAATTAAATACTTGCACTTACTTAAATTGAATCTTCATGAGTAAAATAAGTTCTATAATTTCTAGTATATGGCTGTGCATATTTAATTGATACAGTACATAGATATGTTATATTTTGGAGCATGTGGTTGCTACCTCTTGTAAGAGCTGCTGTGTCTAGTGACCAAAATCATAAGAACAGTGAAGGATGATGACAGTCTAAACCCGGCACCTTATTTCCATAAAAATACTCTGTGCAAACTATGGTATCGGTCTCGCTTTTGATTCCGAAGTTGCAAATGGCTTGTTGAGAGTCTGACATTGTCACTTTTAACCAGAGCCTTATTGATTTTATGTTTGCAATGAGGGTTTTAACCTTCTTAAGGACACAAATTATTCTGAAATTTGCCACCTTCTACATTTTAAGCAGAATCAAGCCGCCTGTCTATTTGTTCCAAATGTTTACAACAATTTACTCTTTAGGACTTGGTATCATGCTCATCTTCATTCTCTTTTTTCTCATTTCCATCAACATCATGTGCAATCTTTTCATGTGGTAAAACATGGTATCATCTTTGGCTAACAGTTAGCCAAACTAATTAGGGAGGGATTTATTTCATCCTTTCCTATCTTGTCTTTATTCTGAAAAAACAGATCATGGATCATTCTCTCAAAGCCTGTCATGGAAAGCTTGGTTAGGTTGGAATTCCTCGGACTTGTGGTGTAGCTACTTGTGCTGGTGCATCAATTGCCAATGAGCAATTGACTGCTCTTCTTTCTGCTGGTTCTGGCCAATGTTGAGGGTTCAGCTAATGCTAAAAGATCAAGGCAGGGCTGTTCTCATTATTCTCATTAGTTTCATGATGGCTCCTCAGGTATGTGGTGGAGGGATGTCTATATACCTTTCAGAGCATTTGTACCAGGGATGCTTGGATGTGTCCTCTCCAAGGGTCTCTGTTAGTGGTAGTTTTCCTGGCTTTCTCAGATGTCCCTGGATCATGGTCAGCTACCTACTCCCAACACTGAACATCAGAAGCTCATGTGAATAGGCTGACACCAGTAGTATATTAGAATTTAACATGAGAACATCATTTAAGAATCTAAACAAGGAGGCTTTAAAGTCCATATACACACTGCCTATGTAAGACCCTAACTTATGTATTTATTTATTTATATATATAATGTATATATATACAGGAAAGTACATTGGGTTTGAGAGTATATATCATTGATGATTTTACATTCTTGTAAAGCAACTAACACACACAACGTTTTGGGCAGATCCTTAATCTAACAGATAAATTTAAGTAGGTAATTTGTAGCAAAACTGAAAAATGTTAGCAGGTACATTGTAAGAAAATTTGAGGATTATTTCTAGGTACATTGTAGCATAATTTAAGGATTATTTCTAGGTACATTGCAATAAAATGTGCATCCAACATAACAACAATGATATAAGATGATGGCAGTGAATACAACAGTGAAGTTGTATTCAAGGCTTAGGCACATATTTTGTGGTAGTAGGTAGCACAAGATATAGTGAGAGTTTGAAGCACTAGGTAGGAAACTATGAGGATGAAATTAGGTACTTTTTGGTTTTACTTTTGAATAGAGCATAGGTTGGACAGCCTTTTAATTCATTAGGGAGTGAGTTCCATAGACTACGTCCCTTTATTTGCATAGTGTTTAAACAGATTTAGTTTGAGTCTAGGCATTTCAGAGAGATTTTTTTCTAGTGTTGTGATTGTTATGTTACATCTGTCAAGGAAGAGTCCTAGATCAAGATTTGCATCTAGGAACAAGGTTTTGTACATGTAAATGGCACAAGAGAATGTGTGGAGCAAGTTTATATTTAGCATGTTTAGGTATTTAAACACTGGGGTTGTGTGTTGTCTGAAAACAGATTTTGTTATTGTTCTGATAAAAAATGTCCTATAATTTCTAATACAGTACTGTATATGGTATGCAATTCCAACATGGAACCCACACCTTGTTTATCATAAACAGAAACTTGAGTATGTTTAGAGGTTTGAAACTAGAGGCCTCAGCAAAATTGAGGTTTGCAAAATTAAGAGGTCTCAACTACGAAAACAGGTTGAGAGAGCTCAGCCCCTAATCTTAGAGGAGAGAAGGTATGATGAAAGAGGGGGATATGATAACTATGTATAAGATCTTGGGGGGAATAGATAAAACATATAAAGGGAATCTATTTAAATTAAAAAGAGGCAGAACAAGGGGACATCATCACTGGAAGCTGGATATGCAATTGAATTGAAGACATGTAAGAAAGTGTGTGTATATTCCAATAAAAAAAATTGACCTCATACATAATGAAATGGGTAGCTTTATTATTTCATAAGAAAAAAGTTAGAGAAAATATATTAATTCAGGAAAACTTGGCTTATTAGGCAAATCGGGCCTTGCATAGTAGGCCGAGTACGACGTTCTGGCTACTAGGTACAACATTGTATATATATATATATATATATATATATATATATATTTTTTTTTTTTTTATTGGAATTAAAATTAACGTAGATATATGACCGAACCTAACCAACCCTACCTAACCTAACCTATCGTTATAGGTTAGATTAGGTTAGGTAGCCGAAAAAGTTAGGTTAGGTTAGGTAGGTTAGGTAGTCGAAAAACAATTAATTCATGAAAACTTGGCTTATTAGGCAAATCGGGCCTTGCATAGTAGGCTGAAAAGTGCGTTCTGGCTACTAGGTACGACATATATATATATATATATATATATATATATATATATATATATATATATATATATGTCGTACCTAATAGCCAGAACGCACTTCT